CTCATTAAGGCCAAAATGAATAAGCTACAGCTACAAGCAGCATGAGTGCGTCTTAGAGACAATGTAAAGTGAAAAAAAGTGAGTCCTACCAGACGTCACAGATAATAATGGCATTGTTATGAAGCTCAAATCAAATAAAATGAAACAATATATTGTTAAAGGACACATATGTTGTTGTTGTTATGTGCCATCGAGTTGGACCCGACTCATAGAGACCCCTCCTTGGGTTTCCGAGGCAGTATCACTACAGAAGTAGATTGCCTCATCTTCCTTCCGAGAAAGGACACATATACGTTAGATAAAACTATTCTTTTAAAACGGAAAGAGAATGATAGTCCAAAAATCAAAGTAGTGGTTACCTCTAAAGGTTGCAAAGGGATGGTATGAAGAGGAGCACAAAAGTAGATAATAAAAAAAAAAATCCACTGCCATCAAGTTGAATCCACTCATAGTGACCTCCATTGGGTTTTCAAGGTGGTAAATCTTTACAGAAGTAGAGTGCCCCATCTTCCTTCCACAGAGTGGCTGGTGGGTTTGAACTGCCAAGCTCTGGTTAGCAGTGAAATGCCTTAGGCACTGTACCACCAGAATTCCTTAGATAATATAAAGTACTGGTAATGTTCTAGTTTTGATCTCTGTGGTAGGTTCACTGGTAGTAATTATATTATTCTATTTTATAATTTACACTTTATAACCAAAACCAAACCAAACCCACTGCCATTGAGTCAGTTCTGACTCACAGCAACTCTATAGGACAGACTAGAACTGCCCCATTGGGCTTCCAAGGCTGTAAGTCTTTATGGAAGCCTCATCTTCTCCCACAGAGCGGCTGGCAGGTTGGAACTGCCGACCTCCTGGTTAGTAGCCAAATACATTAACCACGATGCAACCAGAGCTCCTTTATACTTTATAGCTACTTACATAGCTTACTTATATATTAATGTATTCTTTTGTATCTATCAGATGCCATATTTAAAAAGATAAAAGGAAAAAAGCAATTCACAAAAACAAAGACATGGAAGAGCTTAAAGACAAAATTACAAAATCAGGTAACAGCTCTCACTACATAAATCTAGTAAAAAGACCAACATCGAAAATCTGTAGTTGCTTAAGAAATTGTACAAAAATAAGTCTTTCCCAAAGTAGCAAACCAAAAAACTCACTATTGTTATCAAGTCCATTCCAGTGAGCAAGAACCAGCCCATTCACAAAATTCAGAGCAGACATATATACATACCATCATCTAACCACAGTTTAACCTCACTATTGTAATGGCTCACCTAGACCTTTTGCACCAGATGGAGGCCAACAATTTAAACATATATATTTTTAAAAATCAGTAAACAAACACTTTGATCATAATCATTGTCTGGAGAAAATCATAAGTGATTTTTAATGATATATTAAGCAGTGAACATGGTAAGAAATACAGTTCATAATAATCTCGTTGACATTAACATGGTCAGTATAATTTAATAAATACTGAAGCCTAGTGTGCAATGTACAAATAGCAGAGACATGGTCCCTAGTGTTTAGCCCTATAATCGAATTAGCAAGCAGTAAATACATTTATAGGGAGATAACACAAATTGCCACGTAATCTCAAATCAATTTGTCTCCATCTCTACTACCTCTGAACTACTAACATCTATTGCCTGGACCTCTGTAACAATGATGCCGTCGAGTAGATTCCGACTCATATCTACCCTACAGGACAGAGTACAAAACTGCCCCACAAGGTTTCCTACCTGTAATCTTTATGCAAGCAGACTGCCACATCTTTCTCCCACAGAGCAGCTGGTGGATTCGAACCCCTGACCTTTCAGTTAGCAGCTGAGGCTTTCATACGCTACGCTCCCAGGGCTACTTTGGCCCTCTCCAAAAAAAAAAAAAACAACCCTCTAACCCCTTGTAAATGATCTCTTGCCTTCATCTCATTTGATCCCAATGCACTCACAGTACAGCAGAAGACCTGAGATGCATCTTTGCAGAAACAGGCTCCAGATTCTAAAACACCAGGCATAGGGCTAAAAATAGGGATTTATGGGAAGTCTGGACAGAAAACGGAAGCCCAGCAGACCTTCACCTATCCTGCTTCTATAACTCTGGAAGAGATGCATCTACCTGCCCTCGGAGAGGAATGCAAGTTCTTCTTTTGAAAACTAAACTAAACCACCTCCAGATACTGTTATTTGAAGGTTCCCCCAAGGAAAACTGCAGCTTTCCAAAGCACCTTCAAGTGAAACCAGCAGGAGACAAGCAATAAACTTATCAGTGCTTCAGGGAGAGAAGATGAGCTTCAATCCACAGAGAAACTGCTATGAAAAAAGGAAAACAGCAAGAAAATGTTGTTGAAAATTAAATAATACAAGAGCAGAAATAAAGAATTCAATTAAAAAAATTTGAAAATAAAGCCGGGGAAGACTTCCAGAAAAAAAAGAAGAGGAAATTAGATAATCAAGGAATTCCAATATCCCCTAGAACAGGAATTGGCAAACTTCTTTTTTTGTAAAGGGCTAGACAGTAAATAGTTTAGGCTTTGCAGGCCATATGGTGTCTGTCACAACCACTCAAGTTTGCCATTGTAGTGTGAAAGTAGTCAAAGACAACATTGAAATAAATGGGGCAGATTTAGCCTATAAGCCATAGTTTGTTTATCCTCACAATTAAAAAAAAAAAAAAAATCAATTAAAAAAAGAAAAAGCAAAGAGAAAACACAAAGAAATAAACTACAAAATAGATAATTTAAGAATATTTCCCAGAACAAAGAATATGTATTGTTATGTTTAAAAGGGTCCAACACAATGCACACCATCATCAAATTTCAGAACATCAGGGATAAACAAAGGATTACAAAAGCTCCCAAAGAACAAAAACACAGTCCTACACAAATATCAAAGACCACAGCCTTTAAGTATGAATTATACCTCAGCATAAAGGAAACAAAAATCTTCACAACTTGACCAATAAGCAAAACCATGACAAATGGAGAAAGGAGTGAGGTTGTCAAGGATTTTATTTTCCTTGGATCCACAATCAAAAACCATGGACGCAGCGGTCAAGAAATCAATGACATTTTACACTGGGCAAATCAGCTGCAAAAGACCTCTTTAAAGGGCAAAGATGTCACTTTGAAGACTAAAGTATGCCTGACCCAAGCCGTGGTACTTTCAATAGCCTCCCATGCGTGTGAGAGCTGGACAGCGAATAAGACCGAAGAAGAATTGATGGATTTGAACTGTGGTATTGGTGAAGAATGCTGAATATACCATGGACTGCTAGAAGAATGAAGAAACCTGTCTTGGAGAAGTGTAGCTGCAATGCTCCTTAGAAGCAAGTGACCACACTTTGTCTCTCATACTTTGGTCGTGTTGTCAGAAGGGACCAGTCTGTGGAAAAGGATATCACGCCAGCTAAAGTGGAGGGTCAGTGAAAAAGGAGCAGACCCTCATGAAACGGACTGACACAGTGGCTGCAATGACGGACTCAAGCATAGTGATTCTGAGGACGGTGCAGGACCAGGCAGAGTTTCCTTCTGTTGTGCACTGGGCTGCTGTGAGTCAGAACCAACTCGATGGCACCGAACAACAACATACAAGGGCTGGGAAATCAGATGACACTAGCTTTTCTAAGAGCACCCCTAAGGAAACCAGAAAACCTTCAAATGGAAAGAGAATTCCAACTAGAATTCCATACCTACTGCAACTAGCAATCACATATGAGGGGAGAAGAGAGGTATTTTTCAGACGTACAATGACTTAAAACTTTACCTGCAAAGTGCCAGTGCTAAGAGATGCACTCCAACAAAACACTGGAGGAAAGCAAGAATGAGGAGGACATGGAGTGCATGAGAAAGTGGATCCAGAGCAGCTAAGGGAAATCCCCCATCAGCATCTGTGAAGGAGACTGGGAGCAAGTCCACACACCGGAACTGGAGGAAGAAGGGCTTCAGGATCAAGAATAAAATCAATTTATTTGAACACATAAATATGAAAAAGATTATTGATCCATGTGCCAGAGATGTAGAGTATTAAAAAAAAAATTAACAAATACACAGAAAGCCAGGCAATAAAAAAAAGAGGTAATTATTAACCTTAGAAGAAACAAAGAGCTATACTATATTTCACTATTTGGCTTAGCAGGAAGCAGTATCTTTATGATCAAAATAATGAGACGGTGATTGCTAATTTAAGCAAACCCTGGAATTAGCTATGTCATTATATAGGGAAAGGGAGGCAGGAGAGCACTGTGGGAAGCTCAGTGTCTACTTCTCAGAGCAAGAAGCAAAGAGAACATCCACATTCAACGAAACAAAAAACGCCAGTCAACATGCGGTCCCTGGGAATGAGGAGGTGATTACTGGGGAAAGTGGCCAAAAGGATTCACAAGAGTTTCTTCTAATTAGGACTTGGACGTAGAGAAGAGGAGGGCACAATCAGCCTTCTATTGTACTTGGGTTTAAAGCTATTTATTTTTAAATTAATAAAAAATAATCAACTGACAAAGAATATTTATAACACGTTATAGATAAGGATCAATATTTTCAAATAGAAGCTCTTACAAAATACTCAGCCTAATACAATATATGCGAGGGACAAGGACACACAATTCACAAAAGAAATATTACTATCCAATGTGCACATGGAAAAAAACCTTTCACCATTCAAAGCAATGACAACAACAAAAAATCCAGATTAAAACAACACAATAGCATTATTTTAACCTACCAATTAGCAAAACTTTGAAAAGTGAGTAATACTAGTATTGTCAGTAAGGTTTTTAGGAAATGCATTCATTGTGAAGTATAAGTTGATATATCATTCCTGGTGGAAAATTTGAAAATATGAATCATTACCTTAAAAATACATGCTAGAAATGCAACCTTAAGAAAATAGTTATAAATATATATGAAAGGGTTCAGCTACACTTTTATTTCAGCAAACCTTTCTGAAGGCTGTGTTTTTCATAGTGATTAGCCCGAAACAACATCATAGCCTTACCTGAACCGTTCGTCCTGCATTGATGTGTTCATCATGCAACTTGTCCCAGATTCTGCACCTCTGATACTACGCAAAAGAAAAAATATTGAATGCTTCATCACTAAAGTGATTACTTCCATTTACCACAAAATTCCCACTCACCTACCAAACCAAAACATAGCAGCTAAAGAAGAAAGGGACTTAGGAGTGGTAGCTAAAACCTAACCAAACCAAACTCATTGCTGTCAAGTTGGTTCCAACTCATAGCAACCCCTCTGTGGGTTTCCCAGGTGACATCTCTATGGAAGTAGATTGCTCAGTCTTCTTTCGAGGAGTGACTGGTGGGCTTGACCTGCCAGGCTTCTGGTTAGCAGTCAGATGCCTTAGGCACTGCACCACCAGAGCTCCTAGTGGTAGCTAACTTGGAGAATAATAAGATAAGATTTCAAGATGCACCTAGAGACTAGATATTTGGTCTTTCTTTTAGGTCATATTAAGACTCATACATCTAGTCTACCATATTTAATTGGAAATATACAAAAGTAAATCAAATCCAGAGAATACTCAACTAGAACTGAACCAAGCAATTATATATAATTGTATATTCATGTAACTATTTCACATCTCCCTTCACTAAAATCTGAACGTTAAGAAGGTAGGGACTATGTTTATTTCACTGACCACTGCATTTCTAATACCTATCAGTACAAAACTAAAAAACCAAACCTACTACCACTGAGTCGATTTTGACTCATAGTGACCCACATAGGGTTTCCAAGGCTGCAAATCTTCATGGAAGCTAACTGCCTTCCTTGTCTTTCTCCCACAGAGCAGCTGGTGGGTTCGAACCACTGCCCTTTTGTTTAGCAGCCCAGTGACTTAACCACAGTGCCACCAGAACTCCTTACCCATCAGTATAGGGAGACAATAAGAAACTTTGTCGTGGTCCAGGTTCTTGGTCAAATTAAATAAATTTTCTCCTGAGAATTCTTAACACTATATCTATCTTACCTGTGTTTAGGGTTTAATTTTACATGCCCAAGGAGCTCTGGTAGCATAGTGTCTAAGGCACTTGACTGCTAACCAGAAGGTTGTCCGTTCAAATCCACCAGCCACTCCTCGGAAGGAAGGTTGGGCAATCTACTTCCATCGAGATGTTGCCTCGGAAACCCAAGGAGGGGTCGCTATGAGTCGGGGCCCGACTCGATGGCACATAACAACAACAACAACATTTGTAAGATCCAGGAACCCCTAAACTAAAATGTTATTTTGAAAAGTTATGCCTAGATTAGTCCTGGGGAACACAGCAGAAACAAATCCAAATCCCATCCAAAATTGGAACATACCCTTAACTTAACCCTTTTAACCACCAACCTGTCAATTAGTCAAGCACAAACCATTTGCTCCACCCAGGACCTCTTACCCACAACACATAGTTCCCACAAATATAGCCCCACTAAATATGAGCTTACAATCCAAAATTATAAAACACAGAAGAAACAATCTATGAATAAGAAATAAGAATTCCCAGCAACTAAACTGAACTTGAGATTACAGTATTGGTAAAGGATTAAAATATATGCATATTTAAAATAACTGAAGACATAAATGAAGCATTTGAAGGTGTGATTAAAGAACAAGAAACCATCAGAAAAAGACAGCTAGCAACCATTTAAACACTACTACTGGTAGCATAGTGCCTAAGCACTTGACTGCTAACCAGAAGGCCGGCGGTTCAAACCCACCAGCCACTCCTCGGAAGGAAGGTTGGGCAATCCTACTTCTGTAGTGATACTGCCTCGGAAACCCAAGGAGGGGTCGCTATGAGTCGGAGCCGACTCGACGGCAAATAACAACAACAACTAACGTGCATTTGTTGCATTAATAAGCAGATGTCAAAAAGTTCTTCCTTGTTCTAGGTCAAATTCATCTTCCTATAACTTCTGACCATTGGTCCCACTTCTGCCCTTGGAGAGATGTCTGATCTTTTTCCTAATGAACCCACCAAGAGACAAGCAAGAGGCAGCCTTCAAACAGAACATGAGGATACTATGTTCCAAATCAGGAAAGGTGTACATTAGGGTTGTATCTTCTACCATACTTATTCAATCTATAAACTAAGCAAATAATCCAAGAAACTGAACTATACAAAGAACGTGGCTTCAGGGCTGGAGGAAAACTCATTAACAACCTGTGATGTGCAGATGACACACCTTGCTTACTGAAAGTAAAAGGCCTTGAAGCACTTATTGATGAAGATCAAAGACTACAGTCTTCAGTATGGAGTACACCTCAACATAAAGAAAACCAAAATCTGCACAACTGGCTCAGCAAATCTGCTGACCTCTTTAAAGTGTTAAAAAAAAAAAAAAGATGTCACTTTGAGGACTAAAGTGTGCCTGACCCATTACCATGGTATCTTTAATCATCTCATATGCATGTGAAAGCTGGACAATAAATAAGGAAGACAGAAAAAGAGTTGATGCATTTGAATTATGATGTTGGCAAAGAATAATGAATATACCATGGACTGCCAAAGAACGAACCCATTTGTTTTGAAAGAAGTGCAGCCAGAATGCTCCTTACAACTGAGCATACGGGACTTTGCCTCACATAATTTGGACATGTTATCAGGAGGGACCAGTCCCTGGAGAAAAATATCATGCTTGGTAAAGTAGAGAGTCAGCAAAAAAAAAAAGGGAAGACCATCAACAAGATGGATTCACACAGTGGCTGCAACAATGGGCTCAAACACAGCAACGATTTTGAGGATGGTGCAATACGGGCAGTGTTTCATTCTGTTGTACAGAGGGCTGCCGTGAGTGAGAACCAATTCAATGGTCCCTAACAACAACAACAACAATCCTCTTCTTCCACATGACAGCCCTTCTGAAATTTTTAGACTGGTAACAGAACGAGCCTTCTCTTTAGACTACTAGAATCTAGGCCCTTCAGCCTCCATCCGTCATCTGCTATGGTTACCAAAACGACCAGGACACTTAGCCTCTGTAAACTTTTCACTAATTTCTCTTAGTACTGGTGCTCTGGGCTAAATGCAATGTGCCATATTGTACTTCATACCGATTCCTGTTTACTTACTAGAACAGCATTACCAATTTAAATCTACAAACACCTTCATTATGCTTCAGATCACTATTATTAAATAAATATTTAAACTAATAGTTTTGGGTTTTTTAACCAATAATCACTTTCATTTACCAATAATAACCCATAAAACAAGTATTAGAGACATTTAAATTAGAGAGCACTAATGATTCACTAGTTATATTACAGCAATTGTTTATTGTTGTTACGAAAATTGTATCACTATAAATACTACCTGCCACTAAAATTTAACAGCTCACTTACTTCAGCAATCCATTGTCTCGCATGCAAGACTTTTTTTATGTAATGTCAAGCCGCACAATAACCCTACAAAGAAAATTGCCATTTGACTATTAGAATTCTCTAAAGATGACAGGCATTTACAGCTGTCCCGTCAATGATTAAAATGGTGAATACAGAGTCTGTGAACCTTCAGATCTACTGCACAGAGCTGTATGAAGGTGGTGTGTTTATTTCTGACTGGGAATGAAATCAATCAGGGCATGTTCCACAGGGAGGCAGAGAGCGGGGATCTGAACAATACACAAGGTTTGAAAGGTGACGGATGGTGGGGTAGATGCTGTTAATTGATCCAGGAGAGAAAGAGAAGTATTCAACCCCGTATTTTTTCCATCTACATCATTATTGAGAAAAATGATCTTCCAAATAGAAAAGTCTACGATAAAAATGATTAAGAAGAAAATGAAAACCAAAAAAGAGTAAGAACAAGCCTAAAACTTCCTATGAGCTCAAGTCAACTGGCCCAGCGGAATCACATTTGGGTGAACGGGAAGCACTTGGAACTGTGACCACAGAACACGCTGCTTATCTCTGAGGAGGTGTGGAGAACTGAAAAGGCTCCCAGAGACCAGCAAATACTGACCCAATTTCCACAAAAGAAAGCATATTTAAAACACTGCAGGCTACGCTAAAGAATAATGTAGAATCTGCAAAACACCGCATAACGTGGATGAACTTGGAGGACATTATGCTGAGCGAAATAAGTCAGTCACAAA